ACAACACCTTCAAGCATTTGGCTAACCTTCCCCATATTTGGCCTTAGAGATGGATCTTCTTGAATACACCAAATGCCAACCATCACAAACTTCTCAAGCTTCTTCACATCATCCAAAGCCTCAATATCATCCTGAACCAAATCCTCCAATGTTCCTTCCTGAAAGCAGTCCCAAACCCAATCAGTCAAAATCTCTCTCCCTCCATCACCACCCGCCTCCACTCCTTCCAAGCTTCTCCTACATGAAATTATCTCCATTAACAACACCCCAAAGCTGTACACATCAACCTTCACTGTGATCGGAGTGTTTCGAAACCATTCGGGCGCAACATAGCCTTTAGTACCTCTGATTCCAGTATTTGTTCTACTCTGATTGATCATCAAAAGCTTTGCCAATCCAAAATCAGAAATCCGAGCATTGTAATACTCATCAAGAAGTATGTTCTGAGGCTTTATATCGCAATGAATGATTTGGGTGCTACACTCTTCATGTAGGTAGGAGAGTCCTTTGGCAATCCCCAATGCAATTTGGGTCCTTTTGTCCCAACTGGGTTTTGGGTCACCAAAAAGATAACCTGCTAGTGTGCCATTGCTGAGATACTCATAAACCAGTAAACGGTGCTGTCCTTCGTCGCAAAATCCGAGCAGTCGAACCAAGTTCTTGTGGTGAGTTTGGCCTATCACAGTTACTTCTGTTTTGAATTCTTTGTAATCATCTTGAGTCACTCTATCTAACTTCTTGACTGCGATGATATTAGTCGAACCAATTGGCAATTCTCCTTTGTAAACTATGCCAAAAGCACCTCTTCTTGTCCTCAATAAGGGGCCTTGAATATCTTATCCTAAATGAAATGATATTGTCTTTGTTTTTGGGAATTGGGTTTTGTTCCAACAATAATTGTTTGTGAATTAGGTTCAATCTGATGTAAATTTTATAATTAGCTTAGGTTCAATTTTAAATTTAGGGTATGATCTATTTCATTTAATATGTGGATTTGCAATGACATTTATTTTGTTTAAATTCAGGCAATTGGATTTGTGTTGTCATTGCTATTAATCCAATCCCAGTAATTGGATTTTTTATTGATTGCTATAATTTTTTTTGCTTGAAAGTTATACTGAAATGCATCTACATTGAAATTGGAGTACTGAATTGGATGTAGTTATTTATTCCTATTTTATCTTTAATTCATTTTTGTGTTGTTAGGGAACTCATTGATATTGTTGCTGTACTTGGTAAATGATTTCATTATGTTTGGGTCCTATTTACTTTATGTTTCACTCCTATTTATGTCTTGATTGTTAAATGGTGATATGTTATCTATGATCAATGCCATAATAAAGGCAACAAATTAAAGAATCCGAAATTAATTGGCAATAACTTGAATTACATTCTCTACTTATGTTGAGTTATGTTTGTAATAAGGTGTTAATATAGATCAACTGGTTACAATTTTGACCTTTGCATGATTGAAAACAATATTTTACATTACGGGCATGTTATCTATTGGAGTAACGTATTCTGTAGTTATTCCGTCCAATTTTTGGAGTTTTTATTGTAAATTTGGGAAGTTGAAAAGAATAATACTCTTAGTTGCAGTTTTGTTTTTGCTTTTTCCTTCTTCCCCTCTTTGTCAATTGCCAAGTGTGTGTGCCATCCTTATGATACATATCAAGTGTGTTTATATATGATTGAGAAAATAATGCATTCATCAATTGTGATAAGGCTTATTGCAATTGTCACAACTTGGACCATACTTTGCCATAATACATAAGCAAAGTGTTCTTATTTGGGGAGGTGGTTCATCCTTTAATCATCTATTACTTTGGGAGCCATTTAAATTGTAACGAGTTTGTTAATGCATACAAAGCGAGAAACATGGCATGTGAGGTGAGTCAAATTGTTTTTTCGGGTGGTGCAGTTGATGACTGTTTGGAATTTCATATGAAAATTTTTGGTTTTTACTAGGTTATTTTGTTGAGTGTTTGAAAGTTGACGAGAGTTTTATCAATTTGGGATATTTTTTTAACGTAAATTGAATGTTAATGGTATTTGTGAATTGGTTTGCTTTAGGGTCATGAAATTGGGTTAGTTGTTACATTGTTGTTTTACAACAGATGTGTTGGTGGATGATTTTGATCTTTGTTATGTTGGCTTGGATTT